CCGCGCGCGACTGGCGGGCCGGGACTGCGAGGTGGGTGTGCGGGCCTCCGGGTTCCAGAGTGGAACAGGGATATGCGGGCAGGGGTTTTGGGACTCCCAGACCCGGGAGCCCCCCACCCATCCCCGGGGAGGGGGGGGGTTCTAAACCGTGGGATAAGGTTCTGAGACCAGGAGTCTCCGCAACCTCCACGGGCGCGCTAGCCACTGGGGGCAGACACTCCGGGGAAGCTCCCACATTCCTCTGAGGTCTCCCACAATCGCAAAACCCAAGACTGGGTGACAGAGAGCCCTGGGACTGCAGTGGGGCAGGAGCAGGAATACCTGAGAAAAAAAGAGACTTCCTACAGTCCCCTGGAGGTGCTAGATTACAGACTAGGGACCCCCTGCCCTGCCCCTCAGAAGAAATGGGGGAATGGAGTGTCCACAGAACCTAAATCTGGTGATGGGTGAGTGACACTCTTGGGGGTGCGGGGTTTACCCCCAAAGTAGGTAGATAAGCAGAGGGGGGTTGGGAGGCTGACATCTGTCCGAGCCTGCAGGGATGGAAAATGCAAGTAGCAACTTGAACAGGCAGGGTCCAGTGAAACCAACTGTGTGGATTAGGACCCCCCACCCCCCCCAGACCCATTCACTGGATTGGGTGACTCAACAAGTGACTGAAGTGACTGTTCTGGGGCCGGGGAAGGGTTGACTGAGGGGTGAATCAACAAGAGGGAGGAATCCTGGGGCCATTTCAGTTACCATACATTAACTAAGCACCTGTGGTGTGTCAGACTGTGGACCCTCAGGTGCCAGAAAAACAGGGCCGCTGGTGGAAAGAGCTGCACTGGAAAGCTCGGCCAGGATTTAGGGGGCCACTTTGATGGGTAATGATGGGGCAAAAGGGGGCTGTCCTGAGCCCCCAGGGGCGCTTTGGAAGGGAGCTTCAGAAGCCAGAGATGGCCAAGATTTTTCCCTAACCTCTGGGTCTTTGGGATCTTCCTTCCTACTGTGACAAGTCCCTGGTCCTCTCTAATCCTCAGTTTGCCTAAATCCAGAGGTTGGATGGGTCCGTCTCTGAAAGCCTTTCCTGCTGGGGAATTGAATTATAAGTGTGCGAATTAACAAAAGGAGCTAGGTGCCCGGACACCTTGCTTCATGAGGTCAGGACATTTGGCATGGAGTGGAGAGGGGTGTGTACAGAGGAGGGCTGTCCTCAAGAATTGAAAGACAGGGTGTTACCTTCAAGACTTAAGTCACCTAAGGGAATGAGAGTAGCAGTAGCAGAAAGGACTTGGATATGGGCTCAGCCTACATCCAGAAGCTGAGTTTTTGGGGGTAGTGGAGCTGAGCAGGCCCTGGAGATGGGTGGGTGGGGCAGGAAACTGTGGAGTCTGGCGGGCACCCCCTGGTGGTGATCACTGCTTGGGTGGGCCTTGCTGGGCCCCGCTTCTCAATCCAGGTCCCTACCCTCTCTGTTTGATGCTTAGACAGGGTGAAGGTTCCAGCTCAGTCCATGCAGCAGGCTGGCAGTTGAGTTGGCTGGGCTGGAACCAGGGACTCTTGGTTTGTTGAATTTTCCAATACACTACCCTAGGGCAGAGGGCAACTCCCAGCCAGAGGCCACATCACAGGTAGCCAGGATAGGACAGCAATGAATGATCATGGGTAAGAGGGGAAACTGAGGCACTGGAAGAGACCCCCGCAGGCCTGATTTATGTCTGTACCCTGCAGAATTCCCTGAGCTGGTGTGAGGTGCCACAGGCACGGCACGGAGGCTCTCACCAGGAGGCGACGCACAGAGCTAGGGGCCAGCAAGATGGCAGACGAGGCCTTAACTGGGCTGGATGAGGGAGCCCTGCGGAAGCTGGTAAGTGACCCCGTCATCCCCAATGTGAGGACAGGCAAGCCAGGCCAGAGAGGCAGGGCCTTCTAGGCTACCTCTCAGCTGACAAGAGGAGGTGATGGGGGAGGGGAAAGGAGGAGGGCTCAGTGGAACAGGGCTGAGCCTGTTCCACATGGTTGATGCAGAGGCCCCAGTGGCACATGCCTGTCCGTGCCAGGTGCTGAGGCCTGACCCCTCCCAGCCCCCCACTGCTACCACCTGTTTAAACAATAACTGCTAAGGACTCACCCATATGCAGCCACAAGTGTGGGGAGGCTGGATGTGCCTCTCCCAAGCAACAACCTGGGCACTGCCCACCCCTGGACGCTGGCCCAATGATTATAGTAGCAGAAATGATTAATAATGCCAGGGCACAGCAGGGGCAGATTGAGTGCTGGGCACACCATGTCACAAAGTGGTCACAGCAACTCTGAAAGCCAGGAGGACATTGCCTCAGATAAATGAAATCACCTCCCCAAAGGCACCCCACTAGGAAGAGGGTGTGCCAGGATCAAAACAAACCCCAAAGGGAACCGTGGAGAACCAAGAGTCCTGAGTAAGTCAAGGCTGGAAGAGCCTTATGAGCTGTGACTTCTAGTCTGTCATTTTCCCACTCTGAGCCTCAATTTCTTTACCTGTAAAATGGGAGGGAGGATGGGTGTGAACCTAATATCTAGGTATTAGAGTTGGCATGGGGATGGAGTGAGGCATAGGCTCAGATCTTGAGGTGGAAGGATGAGCCCAATCTATCCCCTTTCCCAAACTTTTTCTTGAGTGCCATAACACCTGCGCCCTTCCCCCACCACGCCCAAAGAGGCTGTGGGGCATTACAACAGGACAGGCATGTGCCCACCAGCAAGGGCAGGGAGCAGCTGAACTGGATAAAGGGCCAGAGCCCCACCCCTACAGCCCTTCACCCTTGTCGGAAGAGGAAATTAAAGATTTACCTTCCCTAGGAGAAGGCAAGTGACCCACCCCTTTACCATTCCTCTGGAAGCAGGGGATGGAGTCAGCCAGGCCAGCCATTGGGCAGTGCCCAGCCGCTGTCATGACCTACCAACGCCCTAGGCCTGGGTGTCCTCAGACGGGCACCTTACACCTTACACGTGCTAGGTGTTTGCCACTGCTTCAGCTAGGTGTTTGCCATTGCTTCAGCCTCTCCGCGTGCAGCCTGGAGGGGGTGGGTTGGGTTTCCAAAGGTCGGCTCGACCTGTCGGAATTCTAATAGAGGCAGTAACGGCTGAGCATTCCAGAGAGAAAGCCAGGTCTCCGCGCACCTCCACGTCTAGGGGTTCCCTCTGAACTTAGGGTTCTCCAGCCGCCACCCCTTAGCCTCGTGTGGGATTTGGGCGCTGGAAAAGTGTCAGGGAAGCCGCAGCAGTGGCTGTGGCCGGCCCACCCTGGTCCCATCCCAGGGAAAGGATTAAGGAGACCCCGCCCCTCGCCCCTGGACCGAAAAGCCGCCTGAGGTCTCCCCCACCCCAGGCCGGTCTCTCCGCAGCCGGGAGCCCGCCGTAACTTCGCCCCGACGCTCCCGGGGTCCCGCCCCGCACGCCGGCCCAGCCTCGGCCAGCCTCGTGGCAGGAACGGGGGAGTCCCGGGCCGGGCTCCTCCCNCCTCCCCGCGGGCCCGGGCCTTATAAGGGAAGGCTGGCCCCAGCCCCGGCGTCGGGCCGATTCGGGGACCCGGGTAACCGCTTCCGGCCCCGCTCCCGCACATTCCTGAGGGCCGGGCGGGGGCTACGTGGGATGGGGGCACCTAGGGACGTGCGCCCCGCGCGCCCCTCCACCTTCGGACTCCAATACTCATTAACCAGCTGGGTGGCCTGGGGAAGCTGCTTCAGTTCTGTGAACCTCGGTTTCCTCTCCGTCGTAGGGGCTATTAAAGCAGGAGGTA